TGCCGTCTCTGCTTAGAAACCTCCAAAGGAGACTCTTATGGACTCCCGGTGAGAGCAGACTCCACTACTGAACAGCTCTTCCCATCAGGATGTTCTTTCTCTTGTTTAGGTGACGCCTGCACACTTTGTCAGTGTGAGTGAGAGGTAGAAGACAAGGAGAAGCAGAGTCAAAACACGCACGACACCCCTGCTAGGCAGGCACGTGAATGCAATCCTCTCATGGCCTCCTCCAGATATGCAATGGGACAGACTGTCTCATAGGCAAGTAGTTCATTCCAACCCCCAAAACACCGCAGAGTCCTGGTCACAGTATCACAGCCTTTGGCCTTGTAAAGTAGCTCATCTCTTGGAATCAACACTCTTGAATTCTGACGTTTATTTATTTATTGACAACATTTCTGCCCCACTCTTCTCAACCCCCGAGGGGGGACTCAGAGCAGCTAACACTGGCAACAATTTGATGACGCAACATCACAATAACAACAATATAAAACCATAAACAATAACATTAGTTGTACAGTCATATATACTTTCATCCAAAGTCCATGGAGGTTTTAGGCTTGATTTATCTGCTACGTGTAACTATTTACAGGTCTTCTCTTCATATACTCACAAACACAATGGGAACTTCACACAACAGGGATGGTGGTGGATTACCTACGCAGACAATTATGGCAAGGCCTCTGACCAATGGCAGATAGCAAGCCGTCCTTCCTGGAAGGTCAGACCCAGGTGGTGGTGCTGGGGGGGACTCCTGTTCGACTCCCTGGCCGGGGGTGTCCCTCAGGGTTGAAGGTTCTCCCTCAGGCTATCTAACAATTACATGAAACCGCCGGGAGAGATCATCCTTTGAGAGGATGAACTCTCATCTTTGAGAGTTCTTGGAGAACGGGAGAAGTTCCAGCAGATTGGAGGAGGGCCAATGTGGTCCCAATCTTCAAGAAGGGAAAAAAGGATGACCCAAACAACTACCGTCCGGTCAGCCTCACGTCAATACCAGGCAAGATTCTGGAAAAGATTGTTAAGGAAGCGGTCTGCAAACACTTAGAAACAAATGCGGTCATCGCTAATAGTCAACATGGATTTATCAAAAACAAGTCAAGCCAGACTCATCTGATCTCTTTTTCGATAGAGTTACAAGCTGGGTAGATGCGGGGAATGATGCCGTGGATGGAGCGTGTCTGGATTTCAGGAAGGCCTTTGACATGACCTTCTGGCAAGGAAACTAGTCCAATGTGGGCTAGGCAAAACTACGGTGAGGTGGATCTGTAATTGGTTAAGTGGACGAACACAGAGGGTGCTCACTAATGCTTCCTCTTCATCTTGGAAAGAAGTGACGAGTGGAGTGCCGCAGGGTTCCGTCCTGGGCCCGGTCCTGTTCAACATCTTTATTAATGACTTTGATGAAGGGCTAGAAGGCAGGATCATCAAGTTTGCAGACGACACCAAATTGGGAGGGAGAGCCAATACTCCAGAGGACAGGAGCAGAATTAAAAACGATCTTGACAGATTAGAGAGATGGGCCAAAACTAACAAAATGAAGTTCAATAAGTGACAAATGCAAGATACTCCACTTTGGCAGAAAAAAATGAAATGCAAAGATACAGAATGGGGGACGCCTGGCTCGAGAGCAGTACGTGTGAAAAAGATCTTGGAGTCCTCGTAGACAACAAGTTAAACATGAGACAACAATGTGATGTGGCGGCAAAAAAAGCCAATGGGATTTTGGCCTGCATCAATCGGAGCATAGTGTCTAGATCTAAGGAAGTAATGCTACCCCTCTATTCTGCTTTGGTTAGACCACACCTGGAATATTGTGTCCAATTCTGGGCACCACAATTCAAGAGAGATATTGACAAGCTGGAATGTGTCCAGAGGAGGGCGACTAAAATGATCAAGGGTCTGGAGTACAAGCCCTATGAGGAGCAGGCTTAAGGAACTGGGCATGTTTAGCCTGAAGAAGAGAAGGCTGAGAGGAGATATGATAGCCATGTATAAATATGTGAGAGGAAGCCACAGGGAGGAGGGAGCAAGCTTGTTTTCTGCTTCCTTGGAGACTAGGACGAGGAACAATGGCTTCAAACTACAAGAGAGGAGATTCCATCTGAACATTAGGAAGAACTTCCTGACTGTGAGAGCCGTTCAGCAGTGGAACTCTCTGCCCTGGAGTGTGGTGGAGGCTCCTTCTTTGGAAGCTTTTAAACAGAGGCTGGATGGCCATCTGTCAGGGGTGATTTGAATGCAATATTCCTGCTTTTTTTTTGCAGGGGGTTGGACTGGATGGCCCATGAGGTCTCTTCCAACTCTTTGATTCTAGGATCCTTTGATCCAGAGTTTTGGAGTTTGGTGTCAAATGTATGCCGACGACACCCAACTCTATCACTCTATTCCACCCAAAGCCAAGGATGTCACCCTGCTCCTGAACCAGTGCCTGTCACCAGTAATGGACTGGGTGAGAGCTCACAAGTTGAGAGTAAGTCCAGACAAAACAGGAGGCGGATCAGGGTGTGGGATGACAGCCTGTGTTGGATGGAGGCACACTCCCCTGAACACACGGTTCGCAGTCTGGGGGTGATCCTGGACTCATCGCTGACCCTAGAACCCCAGGTATTGGGGGTGGCCAGGAAAGCTTTTGCACAAGTAAAACTTGTGCGCCAGCTACGCCCATACCTTGAGATGCCAGATTTGGCCATGGTAGTACGCATCTTAGTCACATCCCGTCTGGATTACAGCAACGCTCTCTACGTGGGGCTGCCTTTGAAGGTAGTACAGAAGCTGCAATTGGTCCAAAGATTGGCAGTCAGGTACTGGAGCACCGTACAGGGAACGGACAATTCCTACATTAGGGCAGCTCCACTATCTGCTTCTGGGCTAAATACAAGTGCTGGTCATTACCCAGAAAGCCCTAAACGGTTCGGGACCGGACTATCTACAAAGCCGCATCTCCGAATACAAACCGCCCATGGCGCTGTGGTTCGCCGAGAAGGCCCTTCTCTCAGTCCCACCCTCGTCTCAAGTGCGGCTGGTGGGGACGGCAGAAGGGGTCTTTTCCGTGGCTGCTCCCCACCTCTGGAACTCCCTCCTGAAAGAAGTAAACATGGCCCCTCCCCCCCCCTCCTTCAGGAATCTTTTACAAACTTATTTATGAGCTCTAGTTTATGGGGAAGAGGAGGAGGAGGATGAGCACTTTATTAAATCTATTCTGTTAGGTTTTTTTAGAATGCTAATGCCTGAATATGCAAAGACACAGCATCAAAGAGAGTGCTGCGAAAAGCTAACGGGTTCTCTGAGAGCACGAGAGAAAGAGTGAGACAGGAGAAGAACGCAGGCAAAGGTCGTTAAACCTTTTGAGGCCAGTTTGCTGATTCAAAACAATACAGCCTCGCAAAATCCAAACACATTCAAGCAGATAACAACTCGAGAACACCAGAATAATACAATAAAACAGTTTACTCACAAATCATGTATGAAGGTGCTCATACAGGTAAAATCTTGAGTTTCATGTAATCCAAAATATAGCTAGGAACTACATTAGGCCCGAGGTACAAGTAGGCCCTACAGCATGCAGAGGATGGTTACATCAGGAACGAAGAGAGAAGAAGGAGACGCGAAGACCACGCGAGCACAACGACTGCAGACAAAGGACTAGGGGGTCCTTTTATAACTTTCCTACTTCAAAGAGGAAATCCACTTGAGAGATGTCACGTACACAATGCCGACTATGTCTCTCTGATAGCCCAGCATGCAACTTTTAGGATAGGCAATAAAATGTTTGGAATGCTAGAATCTTAACTTTCAGCAAGAGTATGGTGACTAGAGAAAAGGGGATCTCTCTAAATGCAGGCTTGATTGTAAACATAATCCAACATATTCTGACTTGGATTGTGGAATTCTACCTCATCCCTGTTGACTTGCCGCCAATCAGCTTACACCTGTTATATTCAATTCCTCAATATTATTTGATTTATTCGTTCAATGTGTCTTAAATGTTATGTTGTATAAATTTTAATCTTGTTAGTTTGGGTTATTTTATACTTATATTTTGATGTTATTCATTTACTATTTATAATTTGATTGGTTTTGTTATAACTTGTTGGCATTGACTGGTTGCCAATCTTCCTGTTGTAAACCGCCTTTGAGTCCCCTCAGAGAGATAGAGTGAGATAAAAATAAAGAAGTTGTAGTTGTTGTTGTTACAAGAGATTTCCTCTATGCAGGCATTATTATTATTATTATTATTATTATTATTACTATGTTTATTTACTCCCGCTGTCTCTCTCCCGAAGGAGACCCAAAGAGGTTTACAATTAAAAGTATGACCACATTATTTACAAATATACAAATATTTGCCAAGGTCACAGTCCAATAGTCAGATGTCAGGAAGGCATTCACCATAAAATAACAACCAAGAATGCAAGACTACAAACCGAAGTCAGAATTCCAAATTCAATACAGAGAGGCAGAGATGCAAACTGAAGTACAAGTCCATAAATCAAGCCAAGTACTCAGTCCTGAATTTGAATTCAACAATGACTCAGGGTACAACAGAGTACAGAACAGGATGAAAGGAACAAGGCCAGAGTCCAGAATTCAGTCCGAGGGGCAGCAGAGCCAAGATCCAGGCAAGATGTGCGATATTATCTGCTAAAAAGGAACTCTTCCTTTCCAGAACCCTTTTGTCATGAGATCTCAGCTGCTGCTCATTTCAGAAAGCCATCTCAGATCATCCCAGAAGCCTGCAATGCTTTTCTTGAGGAGGAAAAAGTCAGGTTAACCCCTTCCAAACTGGCTGCAACACAGAGAAAAATCCTCCTCTGTGGGAGCCCTGAACACAAAACCAGTCAAGCCAGACCACACAAACTGCTGCACATGACAGATAGAGAGCAAGTTGGCAGCCTTCTCTTTCTGTCCATCATCCCAATTTTTTGTCTACCTGGGATACTTGGAAACATAAAGGCAGGTCTCCTCTAGCTGTGTGTGAGCTCTTTGATGTCTAGTACATTTTCCCTTGTGTGGGTCCTTTGATGGATACGCAGATGGTCACTGCGATTGAAGCTCTTTCCACATTCCATGCATTTATGGGGCTTCTCTCCTGTGTGGGTCCTTTGATGGGTACGCAGATTTTCACTCTGGCTGAAGCTCTTTCCACATTCCATGCATTTATGTGGCTTCTCTCCTGTGTGGGTCCTTTGATGGGTACGCAGATTTCCACTCTGTCTGAAGCTCTTTCCACATTCCATGCATTTATGTGGCTTCTCCCCTGTGTGGATCCTTTGATGGGTACGCAGACTTGCACTGTGACTGAAGCTCTTTCCACATTCCATGCATTGATGTGGCTTCTCCCCTGTGTGAATCCTTTGATGGGTACGCAGATCTCCACTCTGACTGAAGCTCTTTCCACATTCCATACATTTATGTGGCTTCTCCCCTGTGTGGGTTCTTTGATGGATACGCAGATGTCCACTCTGACTGAAGCTCTTTCCACATTCCATGCATGTATGTGGCTTCTCCCCTGTGTGGATCCTTTGATGGGAACGCAGATTCGCACTGTGACTGAAGTTCTTTCCACATTCAATGCATTTATGCGGCTTCTCCCCTGTGTGGGTCCTTTGATGAGAATGCAGATCTCCACTCTGATTGAAACGCTTTCCACATTCCATGCATTTATGCGGCTTCTCCCCTGTGTGGATCCTTTGATGGGTAAGCAGATTTCCACTATTATTGAAACTCTTTCCGCATTCCATGCATGTATGTGGCTTCTCCCCTGTGTGGATCCTTTGATGATTATGCAGAGTCCCACTTTCACTGAAGCTCTTTCCACATTCAATGCATTTATGTGGCTTCTCTCCTGTGTGGGTCCTTTGATGGATACGCAGATGTCCACTCTGAATAAAGCTCTTTCCACATTCCACACATTTATACGGCTTCTCTCCTGTGTGAGTTCGTTGATGTTTAGTAAGAGAACTTCTCCCAGTGAAACATTTCCCACATTCCATACAGTTATGTCGCTTCTCCCCTGTGTGTGATTTTGACAAGGAATGGAGATTTTCCATTATTTTACATTTATGATTCCAATATTATGCCAGATGGTCACAGATATGTTCTCCTGATTGCCTCTTCTCAGTCCTTGTATTGCTCTATTCAATTTGTATAATTAGATTACCAAGCCCCACTGTTTACAGCACAATCCTCCCTTTCCTCCTTGAATACACAGGCATGTAGCTTGAAATATAATAGCTCCAACTTATTGCTTGTGAATGATGCGTATTTTCATTCCTGCCCTAAGACAAAGGCAAGGGTTCTTCTCAAGGTTCATTCAGAGGTTACCTGCCAGAGAAATGAGAGGAAAATCTTATCAGGAGCAGAGCACAGAAATATCTCATTGAACAATAAGAACAATAGCTTAGTGCTGTAGCCCAGTTTTATTGTGTCTTAGTGAATTGTTTATTGCTTGTTGTTTATATTGCTTTAATTGTTTTTAATTTGCCTTAGGTTTTGTATTGTTAAATTGTGTGTTGAGGCATTGGCCTTTGTAAGCCGCATCCAGTCCTTCGGGAGATGCTAGCGGGGTACAAATAAAGTTTAATAATAATAATAATAATAATAATAATAGCAAATGCAGGAGAAGGGAGAAAGAGCAGTCTGATTGAGAAGAGCCTTTGCCTGCTGAGAAGTACTTTAACACTTGCCCAACAAAAGCAAGCCCTGCAAAGGGGAGAGTGGCCCAGGATTCTCTGTATGAGATTGTTTGCACTGCAGTGTGTTCAGAGTGTCATCCAATCTTTGTAAAGAAAGGCTTCTAACAATAGGCCGTAGGATCCAGGGCCAGGCCGCTCTCACCTGGGTTCTCTATGGAAGTGGTGGGAGGGAAGGAGGGAGGGAAGGAGGTGCAGGGAAGCCACCCTAGGCTCGGAGGGCAGAGCAGGCAAAGGAGGAGGAGGCGGCGGCGGCGGCATTTCTGGGCAGGCCTGTGAGCAGAGGCCTGTGAGCCCGAGCCAAGAAAGAGGGGTCGCGCAATCCAAGGGCGGAGAGGAGGAGGGGGCCCCAGAGCCTCGAGTGCTTAGTCAGAATTTTGTTGGCAAGATAGTTCGTAGGAATGGAAGACGAGCCGAACGCGGGTCAGAAAGGGGAGGGGGGAAAGAAAGGGGGCGATACGGCCAGGTTGAGCTCTTGTTCCGATCTCACCTGCATTATTCAGGGGGAGAAACATAAGCAAATAGTAGGGAAAACCTGGGAAGGTAGGCATATACATGAGGTTCCCTGGGGATGTGGAGAAACCCACGCAAGGGATCAGTGCATCTGAGGGGCCCTTAGGGGTCCTCAGGTTCAGCCTAGAAAAGGACGGTTGGGACCAGGGCTATGGGAATAGATAGGCAATTGTGGACTAGGAAGTTAGTGAGGAAAAAGAGTAGGGAATAAAGGGTCTACCAGGAGAACCAGAACTCCTAGGGATAAATGGCAGGGGTGGGAGGTGTAAAGGGGCCAGGGCACCCAGGGTTGTGGATACGGAGGGAGGTACAATGGGCCTCCGTATCCGTGGTTTAAAGGGAGGCAGCCCCTGACTCCTGGAAAAGTCAGGATTTCACTTTATATGTTATTTTATGGCTTATTGTGGCTGGATGGGGGTCTGTGCTGCCTTTTCCTGGGTCTTGTCAGCTGGCGAGAACCCGCAAGTGGTTTGAATTTTGTGGTGACAAATGACAGAGACCAAGGGAAAAGATAGAAAAGTTGAGCTTCTTTTGTTTATTTTATTAGAGTTAGACTAGAGATGTGTTAAGGAGTCCTCTCGGAGGTTGCTGGATGCTGCTGGGGCCACCTCTGGAGTGGACAGCCACCTTCGGTGACTGGAATGTGGAGGGACCTGCAGAACTCCCTGCTGCAGGTCTCGATCGGTGTGCTGGGGTAAAATAAAAGAGAGCGTCCCTTTCTAGTTCGATATCATTGTCACTAAACCCTCCTTGATCGAATCGCCGGCATTTTTCTGGCCTGTCCTTATGGGTGCCATAAATACCTCCCTGCTTTAACGCAGTACCTATCTATCTACTCACATTTTGCTTTCAAACTGCTAGGTAGGCAGAAGCTGGGCTAAAGGCCCTGACCCTGCCTTCACATTGTCAACCTTCCAAGATTTATTGCAGCTGGTGGTTTAAGAAATAAAAATGGCCCCCTCTCTCCTCTTCTTCAAGATACTTCTATAAACCCATCTCTGCACTTTACCCTGTGGAGAGGAGGATGAGGAGGTGGTGGTGGAGGATGAGGAGGTGGTGGTGGAGGAGGAGGTGGTGGTGGTGGAGGAGGTGGTGGTGGATGAGGAGGAGGTGGTGGAGGAGGAGGTGGTGGTGGAGGAGGAGGCGGTGGTGGAGGATGAGGAGGCGGTGGTGGAGGATGAGGAGGCGGTGGTGGAGGAGGAGGAGGAGGTAGTGGAGGAAGAGGTGGTGGTGGAGGAGGAGGCGGCGTGGTGGAGGATGAGGAGGTGGTGGTGGAGGAGGAGGTGGTGGAGGAGGTGGTGGAGGAGGCGGTGGTGGAGGATGAGGAGGCAGTGGTGGTGGAGGAGGAGGAGCAGGTGGTGGTGGAGGATGAGGAGGCGGTGGTGGAGGAGGAGGAGCTGGTGGTGGAGGAGGCGGAGGCGGTGGAGGATGAGGAGGCAGTGGTGGAGGATGAGGAGGCGGTGGTGGAGGATGAGGAGGCGGTGGTGGAGGATGAGGAGGCGGTGGTGGAGGATGAGGAGGCGGTGGTGGAGGATGAGGAGGCGGTGGTGGAGGATGAGGAGGAGGAGGTGGTGGTGGAGGAGGAGGCGGTGGTGGAGGATGAGGAGGAGGAAGTGGTGGTGGTGGAGGAGGAGGTGGTGGAGGAGGTGGAGGCAGAGCACGTTGAGGAGGAAAAGGAGGTGGGGGTGGGGGTGGGGATGGAGGAGGAGTTGAAGGGGAGATGGTGGTGGAGAAGGGGGTGGAGGGGGAGGAAGAGGTGGACCTCGCCAGATGCTGGAATCCCACCAAGGCTCTCTTGGTGGTTTAAACCATTTCATATTTTAATGCACTTTAGCGGTCAGGTTTTCTTATGATGTCAATGTAGTTGATGAGATTTTTTTCTGCTTTTTAACTAATTATTTTAAAACGTGTTTCATTTATTTATTTTTGGTTACTTATTATAATTTTGTAGTGATGTCGTTGTATTCATTGGTTTGATTGGGTTAGATTGTTTCCATTCAGGCATTGAATGTTAGCCACCTTTTTGGTTTGGGAACCGCCCTGAGTCCCCTTGGGGGGAGAGGGTGGGGTATAAAGAAAGAGGGTGATGATGAGGATGATTCCCACCACCACAGCAAAAAACACTACTGGGATTTTTCAGCTCCCTAGATCAGTGGTTCTCAACCTGTGTCCCTTCAGGCCTACAACTCCTAGAACTCCCAGCCAGTTGATCAGCTGTTAAGATTTCTGGGAGTTGAGGGCCAAAACATCTGGGGAACAAGAGGTTGAGAACCACTGCCCTACATGGATGGTCATTGGGGGGAAGCAAGGAGGAGAGATGTACACGCACATTCTAGTTGCAGGTGTTTTCAGCTCTACTCCCAACCCCTGACCCACTTTCCCAACCTGATCACCTTCCCTCAAGATCTCCTTTTGGAATCAAAGACTATTTAGAGGAGGAGGAGGAAAGGAAAAAACGAAGGAGTGACTCTCTACCGGCAAGTATTTGAATATAATGATATACACTGTTAACATATTGCATACAGACAGGGATCTCTAACCGATATAGACAAAGAGATAACCCAGAACACAGAAAGGAAGGAAGGAAGGAAGGAAGGAAGAAGGGAAGGAAGGAAGGAAGGAAGGAAGGAAGGAAGGAAGGAAAGAAGAGGGGGAGAAACAAGAATGAATGGGAAAGCTTGATTTTTGAAACAGAAGATAAAAGTGCCGTTCTTGTTGTGAGGAAAGAGGCCCAGTCTCAGTGCCATCTTGATTTGTCATTTTCTGGATCAGAGAGAAAAGAGGAAGGAAAGGAGGAAGGTATTTCAGTGTGGCCTTGAATCGAAGAGAAGTCAGCACAGCTCACTGATTTATCTAATACCCATGCCAACATAAAGGCAGATCAGATAGCACACCAACTCTTGAAGAATGGGAAACCCAACTTTGCCACCAAAGTAGGAAAGAAACCAATAGCCAGACAACCAGAGATTGAGAACAACAACCTTCATGAACCCTTTACATCTACTGAATTGGACATGGCTCTCAATAAATGTAAAAATGGCAAAGCAGCTGGCCTGGATGATCTACGGATGGAACAAATCAAGAACTTTGGCCCAAAAGCAAGGCGCTGGCTGCTGGAGCTGATGAACAACTGCACGGCATCCTGTCAGATCCCCAAAATCTGGAGGAAAGCAAGAGTCATCGCCATCTTGAAGCCAGGCAAAGACCGTAATGACCCAAAAAGCTACAGACCAATCTCCCTGTTGTGCCACCTCTACAAAGTTCTGGAGAGACTTATTTTGCATAGAATTATGGAAAAAATAGACCCATGTCTGATTCCACAGCAAGCTGGCTTCAGGAAAGGCAAAAGCTGCACATCGCAAGTGCTGAACCTGACTCAGCACATAGAAGATGGCTTTGAAAGGCAGCAGATCACAGGAGCTGTCTTCATAGACCTGTCAGCGGCTTATGATACTGTAAACCACCGCCTCCTCCTGAGAAAAATGTATAATATCACAAAGGACTACAATCTCACCCGCCTCATAGGAAACCTGCTACAAATCAGGAGCTTTTTTGTTGAGTTCCAGGGCCAGAGAAGCAGATGGCGGAAACAGAAGAACGGCCTGCCTCAGGGGAGCGTGCTTGCTCCATCCATGTTCAACATCTACACAAATGACCAGCCACTGCCAGAAGGGACAGAGAGCTTCATCTATGCTGATGATCATGCCATTACTGCTCAAGCAGGGAGCTTTGAGATGGTTGAACAGGAGCTCTCCGAAGCTCTAGGTGCTCTTACTGCCTATTACAGGGAAAACCAGCTGATCCCTAATCCATCTAAAACACAGACATGTGCCTTTCACCTTAAGAACAGACAAGCATCCCGAGCTCTGAGGATTATTACCTGGGAAGGAATCCCACTGGAGCATTGCAGCGCACCCAAATACCTGGGAGGAGTCACTCTGGACCGTGCTCTGACCTACAAGAAGCACTGCCTGAACATCAAGCAAAAAGTGGGTGCCAGAAACAATATCATATGAAAGCT